AAAAGTTTTACTAAACAGAAATATCTCCTATAATATTTCTTAGTTATTTTATAGTTAATTGTTTGTTACATCTTATGAAGTAGTTCCCGTTATTCCCTGCCGGGTCGTACTCTCTTCTGTATTTCTCTATAAAGCTGTGTTTATGAATGAACTTGTATACATCTATACGAGTAGTAAAACGTTTCATTCATTAAAGTTCTAGTTCGCTAGAGCAGTAATTTACAATTAACTGCTAGGTACTCGTATACTTTTATTAAAAGCTTTGTGCTTTAAAGAAACTTCAATTAGCGCAATAACTAATTTTCAGCAATTTATAAAACAATTTTGAAAACGGAAATATAAATACCTGCCTATTAGCGAAAATGCGTTTGAATGAATCCGAGGTTCGAAACAACATTTTTACATTTTTTTTTAAGAAACAAATAATTAAATTTCATTTGCAAATGGTGTTTAGTTAGTGTATAAACTTTATACACTTTGTTAATTTAAAACGATAACTAGGACTATTAGATTAAATGGAAGATTGCTTCTGTTAGATTTTACAAAGTAGTTGATGGTAATTTTACAATATAATACAACAATAGAAAATATAGTCAACGATATATCATACCATTAAGTCGTTGTACATATAAAAAACTAAATTTCCAAATGGTTGAAAATGAAAATCTGTGGGAAATTTAACTGAGGAAAAATGTAGGAAATTTATCTATTTTGTTTCCCTCGATTATATTATGTGCACGTATAGGGTGTTTCAGGAAATAATGACAGGCAAAATTAGGGTAAAGGATCACATGGTCTGTCTGGAATGTCAACACTAAAAAATAAAATAAATCCTTTTTTGAATACCCAATTTTTTTTTAGATCATAGCAAATCCACTTTATTTGGCAATACTTTTTGTTATGCGTAACTTTCATAAAAATTGAGAAACGTTTTGTTTTTATAATTAAATTTATAATAATATCAATCGAATGTAGTACGAAACACGAACATTTCCGCTTTGCACCATGTTTTGGGACACCCTGTATAATATAATATATATATATTCTAATGTGTTACATTACTTACATAGTAATGTTAATTCAGATTGAAGAGCAAAAGAAAAATTGACGACAATTTTTGCGGAGGAAATTTTCGTCATATTTAAAAGTTTAAAATCCTAGATAAGCTAAAAACTTTAGAAAGTTGGATCTGTTCCGAACTTTCACACAATAGGGGATCTTTTCGATACTGTGAGATGGTCCGATAAGAATAAATAACGCGCGCATTGGCTTTATCTTCTTTTCTCTTTCCCTTTTCCTTACGATTCATCCATTTACTATGTTAATCCGTACATTTCATGGCTGCACCAGTCATTTAATGGTACTGTGATTAAACATTTTTTCCCTTCTTTCTCTCTGATACTGTCACATATATCATCCCATCATTAACGCTAAATTGATGGGAAGTTCTCTGCTTCTTACTTCTGACTTCAGAAATAGATCTAAAGTACGAAGGCGTACAAGGGCCAAACAAAATTTTCTTTTGAAATTTCCACTTGCAACGTTCTAAACGAACTGTTTTGTCGGCAATTGGACATCTTCACAACGTGACGATTTTAGTCACAGTTGTCAACGAAACGTCTGTACCTAACCTATTATAATTTTACTATACCACAGATTGCGGCAGTGAAAGCCTATATTCTTATACTTTTGAGTAACTCAAAACTCAACTTGAAATTCAAAAAAAGAGTATGTGTGACGCCTTCGTATTTTAGTACCTATACAAAAATCTATTTGGAAATTGTGACTGTAATTCCTTCAGTTAATATTTACATGCATTATAAGTAATATGTTGCAGAATGTTCAATCACCCTCTAGAACAGGGATAAACGTAGCATACGAGGGATGATTCAGAACTGCCCCTTGTTCTTCCGTACGTATAGAAGTTAGGGCTGTTTGAAATATGCCAATACCTACATACTCCCCCATAGTAGGGGAAAATCAGAGTTTTACAAAAGTAGCTGTTACTAACATATTTACATTTTTATTAGACAGAAGCTACCGCTTTCATGTCATATATTTCACGCAGTGGATTTTATGTGATCCTATGGGGAAGTGACATGTAATAATTTTCCTGTATCAGAAAAGGTCCAATTTAAAACAGCAAATTCGCAAAAGATTTTATCGGTGAAGTTTACAATTTGCGATTGAAATTTTCGTTTTTTAACAACATGTCACATATGTATTATAAAACACTCACAACTGCGAAAAATACTTTAATTGGCCGCAGTAACGGTATACATGCATGCAGGCATCAGCTACAGAACCGTTTTTTTATTTTGATGACCTAGTAACATTGTGTCGTTTGTTATAAAAAGCAGTAGCTACAGTAGGAGTACAACCATACTAAACTGTAAAGCAATAGTAATCCCACTCCATGTATTTTATTTTCTACAAGCTTTTCCCTGCAGCTTTGCATTAGTGCGTATCAATGATCATCGAAAATATAATAATTTGATTAATAGTTCTGATCAGGATTATCAGGATGAAACTAAAGTCTCTAATTTTCTAGCTTAAACATATTAATTCTAATACTTTAAAGAACGTCATAGCTGTTGTATTTCTAGATGGAAAATTGATAAATTACCATGTATGTTACATATATAGAAAGCTGTTCAATATGGAATCATTTGAAAACGGCTCTTAGAATTCCTAATATCTCACTCTGACATTAGTTTAAATCATTTCCACATTACAATAAATGAGCGATAAAATTTAATAAATGTGATGAACAATTTCACATTAAACAAATAAATGCAGTAAATCATTTTAATTATTTTGCTTCGGGAAAGATTTAAATTTGAGACAATATCACATATCTGGTTAGTTTTATTTGCATGTTATAAAATTAATCATATAATTAAACGAAAAAAGCAAATGACAATGGTAGATAAATGACCTAAATATACATACATTTATACCATTTGTTACATTCTTTTGGTGGTTGATATGGTGTGATGCGCAACTAGAATCATATACGTAGGTGGTTGCTGATTTTCATAGAGAAAAGCAAATCGATGAATTATAAGGAATTGTTGGTAGTTACGGCTGTTAATCAGTTGAAAATTACTGAAACGAAATGAAGATTTGGATGGTCATTTTGTGTAATCTATAAATAAACGCATTTACACATTTAGAATTTATTAGTAATAAATCAGAATCGTTACCGTTATTAATGCCGTGCGCTGTAAAACCGGATGGATTTTCCTTGTTGTGAAGTTATTTTAATTTGCGTATTGCGTCGTTATTACAATTTGCATAAATGGTCATGCACTTACCACAACTGTGCGGACAGTACAAAACACTATTTCAGATATAACAGAACACATCATCAGTAGGTATCTGCAGTTATTCGGTTAATAGATTTTCCAAAAATACATTGGTAACATTCGTTCTACCAGAGCCCGGCTGACAGTCGTTATAGATTGTTTAATATCAATCATAAAACAAATTAAATTCATGTACCCACTACATATATATATGCGATTGATCAATTTTTGATTCCGAAAGGGCGTTGTTCGTTCGGATTAAAATTCTTTTTTTTTTTTTGGTATTAACCTCATACATATATCAAACCTGTTGGTGATACATCGTTTATTCATTTATTAATAAGCATTTTTAGTTTTTACTAGAGATTTAATTTTCCAAAAAGCATGAAGAATTAATAGAAAGATCCTCAACACTATTAGTGTACAATAATAGGTACAAAAGCCTGCACATAATTTGGGAAAAATAGACTGAAAATAGAAATAATAGATACACACTGAATGTATGTGGTGGCATTCAGACTGGTAATTTTGGTAATAACTGACGTGCTACAGGTGTGTATTGTGATCATTCATTTATATTTTGGCGGTGGCCATTTCGTAGCTAGGGATTTGCGAAGGCTAATGGTTTTTTTAAGGGATGATTACAATTTTTTTAGTTTGTACCTTGTCAGCGTGGTTTTTTCGTTAATATTGACTGATGAACTCCGGGGCGTTGTAGTATAGCAAAGCCATTTATCGTTGTTTTGTGCTCTAGCTGCAAGGCAGACGATACTACATGGATTTATTTCTATGTTGAATTGGTGTTCAATATGTATGTAAAATTGTGAAACAGCCACATGACTTGTACACGATACGTTGGACGAACAATGGTATCCACCCTAAACAACTGCAAATCGAATGGTAATTAATTACAGCATTTGTAGGTAAATGAAATTCAGGAATATCTAATAATGCTCATAGCATTTATGCCATAAATTACTGTAGACAGTGGTAGTTGGATTATTGCCGAATGCAACAGATGTGGCTTATGATTCATTCGTTCGAGCGTCTGTCAGCGAACTGCTTCACCCTGCTCTAGTGCTTTCTGCTCTTCTATACCAGATACCAAATTCCCTCTTCCTACATGCAAGAATCAGAAATACCTATACCGTCAGCTTCGATAAAAGTGGACAGAAAGCACACCTTATACACCACAACGCATTATCGATCGTTTCATTTACATATATTAATGCGAATAAGCGAATTATCAAACATGATAAAGCAGTTCATCTTAATTTTTTTTTTAATATAATAAAAGATTTATTTATTTTTTTTTATTTATTTTATTAATGGTTAGTTAATAAAAAATCGACGGATCGTTAACCTTGTAGGTCGGTTGGTCGTGGTTGCTGTTGTCACCTCTCGTAGTTTAGTGGTAGAACATTGGTGCGTAAATCCAAAGGTCCCGGGTTCGATTCCCGGCGGGGGTGCGACACAGCAACAATTTTTCCTCATTAATTTGAGGTAGTTTGTAGTGGGTAAATAAAATATCGAAAAAATAATTTCAAATTAATATTGGTTAGAAACTATCGTGGATCCCTTATAAAAGCTTCTTCTAAATAAAAAAATGTTTCACCCTTTATTTTTTACATTACGTAAGATAACATTTTTTTCGTTTCAACTTTAATTTTGACATTCGGTTAAAAATGATATGTTGTGATTGAAGATTCTGATGATGATTCAGTTCAAACATATTGTTTTGTTGTTGTTGTTGGTTTTTAAATTTGCATGAAAAATATTTGATTTTAGATTTTTTTTTCATTGCTGCGCTAGCGATAGAAATGTCCTTTAGCGGTGTGTTTGCATACAGTTGTAATTACGACCGTTTCCTATCGATTGTTGTCATAATGATGAGCGATTGCAAGCAGACGTAACGTATGGAAGAGGTGGGCTTAGCAGCGATAATAGTTCCATCAGTGCGGATTTGTCCCGCGTGGTCTGTTCCATCTAAATCCAGCTAAAATGGCGATAAATCACACTATCTGTCTCTGAGCCTTTAGCCTTAACACTTGTCACTTCGATTCGATCCTTTTCGCATCTTTTAGAATTCAGATAAGGTAGATTAATTACAGTTTGGCTCACATGATTTATTGGCTTCTGTTCTTCTTCTAAATTTCAACGAGATCCACTTCAAAAATCCTTACTGTTTATTTCATTCATCGATCTATCTTCTCCATTATGTGAAATGTTAAAATTTGCCATGAAGGAACCTCTAACAGCAGGAAATTATTTTTTTCCCATTGTGTGTAGAATGATTACGTTCCTATTTCTCAGTTGTCACAACTGACAATTAGAGAATTATAAAGTAAACGGTAATGCTTTCGTTTATCCCATGTTTGAGGGCATAAAGTGTTGTTACCCAAAGATCATAATCAATCCTAGATCATAGCTATCAAGTTTGAATATCAAGCTCTTCTTGGGCTAAAGTTGAATACGTACGATTTTGAATTTTATATTATATCTATTCGGTTTTGTTAACAATCAGGGTAAAGGGGAGAACTTTCAACATATATATGTATATGTGGCCCACTCATAATTAAAGTGTACGAAATCATCAAAGCGCGAGTCGAATTTGTTTTGTTGTGTCTGTACTCTGGGCTCTTTGAATTTTCTCTGTACGTGAAAATTTTCGCAATTCATTGTCTACTTACTTTTCTGACTGGTGAGATTCGCTATTTTCAAACGGAATCGATGATGTAAATCATAAGTGACGTAGCATCAGCCTCACAACGTGAATCCATTATAAATAACACTGATTAGGTTGTAGACGCGCTTCCCTGCGACAGAATATTACTGTGGGGTAATGAAGAAATGTCTGCGAACATCGAAACTCAGTGCTGCGTGATCTTCCGATAATGAAATGTATGTAGAGTCATATCTTACAATTTGTGCACTGAACTCAACCCATTGAAGTATACATTTTACTACATTTTGACACATATGTTATAAATATCTACACACATAGACGACACTGTTACGGAAATCAAGTGACGCTCGAATAAACAATAAAATTTTTCGCCTGGATAATAAAATGTTGCAAGCGTTTATTTGTTTTAAAGGTGGCAATATTTTTACATATGGCAGTGGCGGCTTGGGGTGGTTCATATAAAGTTTACTTTCCAAACATAATATTCTTCACTGCAATTTTTTCATTATTATTATGTAAGTACATTATCGTACGGAAACATTGCTCGGTTGTTAGGTATTACGAGATCGATTGAGATTTGAGATAAAAAGTATTTACACAAGCTAATTATGTGTGTAAGTACCGAAAAAAGGAGTAAGGTAAAAGGCCCAATTTCTGACACTCTAAGAGTGACAGCTGAGATTATATTACGATAACTAAAATAATATTTAATTAGAATAAATAATTTTTATACTATAAACAAGTTCAGAGTTTCTAGAAAAACTCATATACGCGATATAATTATTTGAAGCGAATTAGTAATTTTAATTAATGATTTAAAAAGTGATGTTTGAAGACCCAGTTTCTGACACTTAAAATTTCTTGTGTTGTAGTTTCTGACACTGCCATCGGCCTAGTTTCTGACACTCATATTTGGTAATGATTCTCTCTCGGTTAAATTATGTATTATCAAGTTTAAATAAACTATAAGTAATTAAGTATTCATTAAAGATAAATTAAATATTTATTATAAGTAAGATATTGTTATTTTTAACAAAAATAATTAACTCCTGAAAATAACAAACAAAAATATGTATTTGTATCATCAATAAAATTTATAATTCAATTGAAAGTAAAAATTATCATAGTAATAATCATTTTAACACTAACAAAGATGAAATTTCTTTTACAACAATCATTTTCGTATTTGAAAGAATTATTTATAACAGTGAATATAATGTTTAGTTTATTCACAAAAATATTAAATGAATATTTATCGCTGTAATTACAGAAAATAGTATATCAAATCATAATAATCATAATAAATACAAATTTTGAAACATTTTATGGATGTCAACAAACAAATAACCTCCTGAGTAAGAGGTAAGAATGTGAGTGTCAATAACTGCGACATACCTATAAAATTGAGCCTAGTTATTGACACTTATATTTTATTAATAAAGCTTTATTTAATATGATATATTGATTTTTTAGACTAAATAATAGTTCATTATTAAACAATTTATATATATTTTATTATATTTTTATACTTATATAATGATTATTTCACTGATTGAATCGTCGAACGCGCTTCCGTAATTTGCTTAGACCATAACTAAAAAATGGCTTCCGCAGTCACTCCACACTTAAAGATTTTTTTTATTAAGTTTTCTTATTTTTTATTATTGTGCTTGTCATTAATTAAGTACAGAATAAATTTATTTTAATTTTTAAAAAATTTATTAACCCACTTAAGATCTTTTTTTTTTTTAATTCAACATAAACCTAAAATTGTCAGAAACTGGGCCAGTGTCAATAACTGGGTCTTTTACCTTAGTTCTTTTTCAGTTCACCTTAGCAATTTTATATATAACTCACCACTGCTTAGCATATAGCGTTGAAAAGAACGAGAGAACTAGAAATAGTATATTATATAGATAGAGTGTGCGAATGTGCGGACACGTGGGTATCTCTATGTGTGGCTAAAGTTGAGGAAATTCGAGTTAACGAACAGCATAGAATACCTAATTAGTTTTTCCATTGCAGTGTAGGAAGAAAAGGTTCCCTGATGAGCTTTTACATATTTGCCATCTGTCGTGCGATTTTCAGAATACATTATAAGGCAAACACGTCCCGAATTGTATGCTCTCTGCTGCCTAGAGGTGCAAAGATCTGGGACCGAAAACCTTGCCAGATGTAGATAGGGCTGAATGCATAACAAATAACAACGCAAGCGGGGTTACTACTACTCTATTGACGTGTTGAAAAACACAATAAATTTACATTGTTGTGCTGCGCACCTAATATTTGGCGCTACCATTTTCCACAGATTATTTACAAAATTTCTATCTATGCGAGAAAATTAATGACTCGAAAATTATTCACATAATATTTTTTTCAGAAGAAATAGGCGAGATAGGTCGATAGGACACTTTCTCAGGCTTGAAGGGCTTGATAGTGACATATTAGAAGCGGAAACAGGAGTTAAGAGGAGTGGAGGTAGATTTAGATTACACAGTTAAAGATATGGGGTGTTCTAGCTTTAGGGAAATGGGAAACATTATTTCCATCATTAATGCCAAAATGAGAAAAGTAAAATATTTCCGTTGGGATTTGGTAGATGTCCCATGTCATTCGCTTTATTCGAATTAAAAGAATCATAAGATATAAACGATGAAATGAACTTGCTGAATAGGAACCACTTATTACCACACACTCATTCTTGAGCATTCAGAAGCATTCTCGAACATCTCCGAACATTCCTACGAACAGACTTTTCCAATTAGACTATTTTGTCACACCTCTACCTATTGACGAAATCCACCCTAACCAACCTTGCACCCGATTAATGGTAGACCACGACTACATACAGTATTACATTAATATAGAATTTTCGATAAATTTCTATTGTACTGTAGCGGTTACTGCATGACTAAAGTTTCAGATACAACAATTCGTTGTCGGATGTACAATTATTAAATATTTATAAAATGTAACATCCCCATCGGTATTTACTTTTACTAGTTCCTCTGATGACAAAATGCCGTCATTATTTTGTCGTTTTCATTTATCAAATTTTCATTAAAACGTTGTTTAAATCCAGGCATTAACATGTCTTTAATTCCCCAGTTAAAATTGATTGCCGTTTCTATGTGTTCTAATTGTGCATTTTGTGGTAGACAGAAATTTGTATTTACAATTCTTTTAACTTGCTTGTTCGCAAGTAAAAATGTGTTAACCAACTTTTCGTTGCGGTTGAATATTTTGAAAAAAATCAGTGGCTATTTATTTAAGTTTACTTTTGGTACCCATGTTGGGCAGTAGATATTTCTTGCTTCGGTAATTCTTAGTTAGTTAATAAATTGTTCATTGTTAAGTGGTGTATCCTGTACGCACGCAGTCAGCTATTGTAAATATTGTGTTTGTACTTGTACACATATGGGTACATACCATCAGTGAATATCATGTTATCAGCCTCTGCTATTAGGGTAGCCATGACCGAAGTCAAACAAACATCGAGAGGGCGGTAAAACCCACCGGTTACTTCACACACCTGTCATATTATATGAATATATGTACATACCGATCATTTCCAATTCGATCAAACGGAAAACAATTGCAGGTACAGTTAAGTGTATTGAAAATGGACGGGAAACATAATTTATTAAACACCAGAATAGAAATTACTACAAAAGTAGTTGAACGTTATTTATGTATTTCCATGTTTTTACAGTAAAGTTTCCTTATTACACCCAAGCTATATAGGGTGCAAAAATATAAATTAATCAAAAAATTTCACCTTTTAGTTCGACTTCAAGGTCTCGTTTATAGTTGCCGATCAATATTTATTGTATTCCTACATGCGATTTTTACGTGCCGCCACTGGTAATAGGGGTAAGTTATCAAAAGAGACACGTTTACAAAACACCTTGTATGTATGTATGTAAGTATGTACGGATGTAAATCAAAGGGGTTTGTCAGATTATACGAATGCATGCATGTATATGTGTATGTGTACGAGTTTGGTTATTGTAGAATTTTGATCTGTTAAATCATACATACATACGTATGTATATATATATATATATATATACGTATGTATGTATGATTTAACATATATATATATATACATTGGCTAAGAGACAGTCAGTTTTCGTTATTAAATGGTACATTCTCGGCAATGAAGTTGCTCGTGATTAATGTAGGCAATCGTTGTCAGTTGCTACTATAAAAAGGAATGTCAAGGGAAATAGGGAATATAAACACACTTATCCAAGAATATATTAATCATTAAACAAATTGCTCATGTTTAATTATTATCAGGCCATACTTATGCATATGTATAACGATCCAAAAAAAAAATTATATCGTATCAAGTATAGTACCTATAGTAAGAGATATTCCTAATCCTACTGTCTTGCAGTTTAAATGTAGAGTACCTAATACCTACCTGGTAAACTTGTGTACGAGGTGGAAAAGTTGGTTTCGTGATGTTAATATTGAAAATTAATAGGAAACACAATATCCGTTGCTAGGATAAACGAACTCTGAATTAGTGGGATAAAGCTTACGCGAAATAATTGAAAATCTTAATTGTATTTTGAGATTTAATTCGAGTGCTTACTGAATTGATTGGTAGCTGAATCGTTCCCCGGCATTTGTGAGTTCTTTATTAATATTCTAGCTTCGAAGAATAATGGAACTTTTCAATCTTATCAGTCGCTCCAAAAAGAATACATACCGTAAAACCAAAAGTATTTGTTTATTTTTTTACGCCATCCTTTGGTCTAGTGTTACCCTTTTTTTTTATTGTTAAATTGTAGAGATTGGTTAGGAAGAAGAAAAGCAGTTTTAATATTGATGCGTTAGAGCAAAAGTAACCGATTAATAGAGTACGTAGCAGTTCGTAGGTTAGTAAAATGAAAGAACTCGAAGACGGTGCAAAGAGACGTCGAGGTCTCGTAGAATAGAGCCGGTGGTGGAGACATTCTGGGGGGTATTTTCTCTTGGAATTCCTTTTTCTTTAATCTAGAAAAGGAAATCGTTCTTAATTTGAATGTGGTGGTAGCTTTAAGGTAGGAAGGCTGGAGACAGTAGCCTTACAGAACATAACTTTGTGATTCTCATCACGATGTAATAAATCAAGTTCCAGAACGCGGAGATAAAATCATTGGAGAGGCGCTTTAACCACCTTGGGCTATTCTCGCGTGAATCAGGGTTGCTTGATCTTACAATG